TGTCCTCGCTTACCTCACCAACGCGCGCATCAGTCTCGAAAAGGGCCTCTCCCTCGACAGCGGGTGGACGATGGCGCCCCCGCTGAAGCCGGTGGACTTCGCCGCGCTCGGCCTGGACAAGGATCCCCACTGGTTCCGACGGGACAAGATGACGGCCCGCGCCGTGTCGTTCGCCCGCGCGCACAACAACCTCGAGCACTACGTCCCGCGCGAGGGCGTGCGCCGCGGCATGGCGGACATGTGGCTGCGCTTCAAGTCCGGGCAGAGGTTCACGAACGCGTCGCTGGGCTACATCGCTGATGCGTATCCGACCATCGTTGAGGCGTGGCGGCCGCGGCGCGGCGAGGAGCAGACGCCATTCCGGTCGGATGAGATGTTTTGGTATCCCACGCTGTCGCTGAATCTCGACGTGAAGAGGGCGCTGCCAGAGGACGGCGTCGAGTGGCTGTTTATCAGGTGTTTAGCGAAGGTCATTCAGAACGGAAGACTAGACCTAGAGGTGATCATCTTAGATCAGGACCAGAACGTGGTGGCTTTGAGCAATCATGTCAATAAGGTCTTGTCGGCTGAGCGAAATCTCATGGACCGGAGTCACTCGAAGGAGAAGCTGTAGCGGCAGCAGGTGGATATTTGTAAAGCTGAAAGATGATCGTGCTGTAGAAGGGCAATAGAGCTGGCGTTTTGGCGTTCCTCAACACTGTCAGATCGGTTGCGCCCACTCCCACAACTGGATGAGGTCAGTGACATAGATCCAGTACACTTAGACCACTTCTTGTCAAACCGTGACTTAAATAATCTTTTATAATTCCAGTCTTTTCCCCACAGGTCTTGGTACTCTTCATGCTCTCACTTCCCCCGCTGGGCTGCGGTTCAGGGCATTCGGTTCACGAAAGTCCCACTCATGACCCGCTGTTCTCATCATCGTGCATCTATGAGCTGCAACCACACCGTCTCTGACCAACCATTGGTTTCTGTCTACAGAAATCCGATATCGGCTCAATGGTCTAGTGGTATGATTCGCCCTTCGGGTGCTTGTGCAACATCACAACCCTTCCGCACAGCGGGAATGGGCGAGGTCTCGGGTTCGATCCCCGATTGAGCCCTCGCAATCATTTTTGATTTTTGCTACAACTGTGAACCTAGCTAGCTAGGCTGTCTTTCCCCATGGAACTTCTTATGTTTTAGGACGACTAATACTAGCTGTCTTCTATGGTAAAAAGATCTGGTTGTAGAAGGAGCGCGACGTGCCTAATTAGATTCAATTGAATTTTCACGTTATGTGAGGTGTATTTAGATTGCGCAGAGCTCCAAATAATCTGGACGAGGTTTTCCAGTGTCCTATTAAGAGGTAAACGACTTGGGTCCTGTAGCCACGGGCGCTAAGATGCCATGCAGTGCCAACTCTTCTATGAAGTTGAAAAGAACAAGGTCACATCCCCTCTTTACAACCATGTTGATGGTCACGGGCATCGACACCTCCTGGTGAGTGACATTACTGTAGTATGACACCTGTCCAATTGGAATGGTGAAGTCTGCGCTGCCAAAGTATGATGCCAGGATCGATCCAGCCTCCTTGGACCCAGTGGCATCCGGAAGTGCTGCGCCAGGCGAGTCGTTCAGGTAGGCCTCTCGGAACGACGGCAAGCCGCCTGTGCCGATGTCGTAGATCAAGATAGATTCCGAACAGCTGTCTTCCGTGCTAAACAGGACCTCGCTGTGCCAAGCCTCCGAATCGTCGTGTCTTCGCTGCAGCGCTTCGGTGTGTTCTTCAGCGTCTAGTGTGCGATTCCACCAGGACGAACGAAACGGCTGATCCAACGCAGGGAAATTGGGGCTGAAATGATCCAACAGGGGCGTGGCCACGACTTTGAGCTGCGTGTAGGTCCAGAGAGTCCTCAAGTCAGTCAAGATGCTATCGTAGACCCTTCCAGTGACGCTTTCAGCTTTCTCGGTGATGTTGATCTTCTGAATTGACATGCCCATGGTCTGCGTAACTTGATTCAAGAAGCTTTGAAGGACAACTTCCGCGGCTGGGTTCCTTAGGGGAAGACGATCCGTAGGGTAGAAGATGCGTTTCGGAAAGCTACGTGCATCGGGCACGCCGAGTTCAGGAAGGTCGTTGAGATCGCTACCTTGATGAAGTGCGGGGTCGTACCAAACCTTGGCGAATTGGACCCAGTCTCGAGGATCTCTGGCAAAGACACCTGCAGTGTCAGTTCCATAAGATATGGGCATGGCCCCAGTCAAGTCGATGATTCCCTGTGAAGGCCGGTTCCCGTACACGCCTGCAAACGCTGCCGGCTGGCGCATAGACTGGCCAGTGTCGGAGCCAATCGCAAAGTCCAGCCACTCATAAGCAGCGATCGAACAAGCGCCGCCGGCGGACGATGCGGAACAGCTCAGATAACCATCTCCGCGAGGATTCTGGGGGTAGTAGACATCAGTCCATTCCCAGGCGTGGGCTGCGGACGCAAACTGAGACGTCTTTTGCTTTCCTACGACAACGCCCCCGAGGTCGATGATGCGTTGGATGGATGGGGCTGTTGCGTTTGCCTCTCCTATCATACTCGTCCAGGCCTTGCTCCCCAGCGTCGTCTTCAGGCCTTTGACATCGTAGATGTCTTTCACGCCAACTCTCTTGCCAGCTAGGGGCCGAGTGTCGACTTGACTGTAGAGGCGCGATGGAACGGGAACTAGCGGATAGCCCCATTCAGGATCGACGAGGTTCAGAACCTTGTGTTTTCCATCTGATTCGTAAACGCCATGTACGAAATTGCTGTAGGTATCTGTGTACAGGCGGAAAACTTTAGATAGTTTAATGTTTCCTTCGCCGGATTCTAGAAGCACTGGTCCTGGAGGGGTTACCGATGATGTCGAGTTGGTCGAAGCAGGCAAGAACAGGATCTGAGACCCGATAGACTCAACCAAGCTGCGTGCGGTAGCATCCAGCCCCGAGGAGTAGTTTGAGCTGATGATGATGGTCTCCAGAAAGTCTTCGGTAAACACGTCGTCCTCCGCGAGGTACATATCGAAAGTATCCTGCAGTAACTGAGCTGTAATGAGCGGACTTGTGGCAACAATATGCGTTGCCGCAACGGTGACCGGCTTGTAGTTCAGGGGTGCCTCCGACAGGGATGACGCGGATGTCGCTAGAAAGCTGCTGTTCCCCAGCTGGAAAATGGAATCAAGTCCATTGATCGCCTGAACGGGAATGAGCGGGCTTCGTAGAGCCAGAGCACTGGCGATGCCAGCCAGGCAAACTAATTGAAGGCCTTGGTTCAACATCAGCGATAAATCGAATGGGTGCTCTTCGTAATCAGGCGTGGCGCCATATTGGTACGGGTAGACAGAGCCATCTCCAGCGTATAAATACATCGTAGCTGTAGGTAGTGCTTGGAACTCGGTGGTGAGCGCTGATCCTGTTGTCGGTGAATATTCCACAAGCCAAGGAATCTAGACGTCACTCGTGGCGCCTCCACTGATAAGACCTGCATGTCTCAAATCAGACGAACATGCCGTTCCCCGCTTGTCTGCTCCGACTCCGGGGCCGATGAATGGCGTTTGGGCGCCGACGGACAATCTCCACCTTTTCCCATATCCGTGCGGAACATGTATTCCGCTTCCGCCGCTCGGCGTCAACTGGCCACTGTGAAGTCCAACCACGCGAGGTTCTCATGGCGAGTATGACCTCGATCAGAAGATATAGGACGGGCCTTATCTCCTTTCTTACGTTATCTTGGCTGTCACCGTTACTTCCTGGGCAAAGATCCGTCGGGGACAATCTACCAACGGGATGGATTACCTACGTGGACGGGACAACTCCAGCAAGGGACCGGCTGGGTCCATCATCAATCCAATCGCAATTTTCTCTCTCTCGGTCAAATGTTTTGTGGAAGTAACTTCTTAGGACCCAAATTTGCAAGTTGCTTAAATGTAATAATATGCTTTAAGAAAGTTGCCTGGAAACGACCAACCGCACAGGGTAGCTTGAAGCAGATGGGTACACGTAAAATTGTGTGAATGAATGGGGAGGCAGGATTCTTCAGAACAGTTTTCATCTAATCCGGATGAGCAGAAAGTAGTATGTGTGTAATCGCAGCGATAGTTTTGACTCGCCAGCCTTATCCGTTGGGGCTGAATTTCTGTCTCATTTTCAAGCCATCTTCATCTGACAAGCTTGATCTATCACTTCGTATTTCCTCATAGGTCCAGGCGTCGAGTTGGCAGGGCGGCGTTTATCCTATCAATGCGCGAACTCAGGACGCCTCCCTTACCCAGAGTCTGAAATAGCACGCAGCGAACACGAGCTGAGTTAGGAGTCTCAGATGCAGGGATAGGGCCGACCTCAAGGCAAGTAAACTTGTCAAGTTCAATCAATCAATTAATCAATTATGAAGCCATAACTAGTCAATCAAGTCAATTATGGGCCTCAAACTTGATTGATTGCCTTGGGGTGGGCGCTGTGCAGGGAACAGCACAGAAACCCAACGAATCAGATTGTTCATGACCATGACCAGACTGTTGACGGGTATGTGTTTTTAAGTGTCGCGCAAGGAGACATTCAGCTGCCAAAACAATCCATAATATGCTGCTCCCACCTTTTCAGTCCGGAAAGCCTTATGTTCAACTGTTCCCCAACACGCATCATGGCCGCCACTAGCCCAAGTCCGCAGGTATCGCCAATTGATGGCGATCTGTCATCGGCACCGTTTCTGCATCGCGTCCCATCCCAGTCTGAGTAAACTGACATTGATACCGATGGAGGCTCGATACACTGCGATCATGAACGTCAAGAAGCCGTAGCAGATATCTCACCAAAACGGACCCTAGTCCTTCAAGTAGGAAGTTACGCACGCGTTCCTTCTTTAGAACCCTGCGCTTCACCGACGGTTCCACACAGCATCACGAAGGAAGAATGTACCGCGCCCGAAAGGTGGGGAAATTCTCCAAGTAAGCCGCGAGGCGCAAGAGCAGCTTTGGAAGTTTGGGCATTTGAGGTCATGGCACTTCTCTTGTCAGTGATAGCTTTTACGGCAATCTTCATTATGCTGTCCGCCTACGATAAACAGCCACAATTCGACCTGCCACGAGGAATCAACATCAACACGATCATCGCCATCCTATCTACGATTGTTAAAGCTACCTTAGTTTTTGTAGTGGCTGAAGGTAGATATTCCCTAGAGTGATCAGCCAGACTCCAGACTAACAGCAAGAGTCGTCGGCCAATCCAAATGGGTCTGGGTAAAAAGTCCCCAGCGATTGCGTGACGTGGAATATTTCCACGAAGCTGGCAGAGGGGCATGGGGGTCTCTCAAATTCTTGTTCAAACTGTGGAAACCGTAAGTAACCTCGTCACACAATCTTTCAGACATCATCACTAAATGATCACATAGAATGACTACCGCCCTGGGAGCAGTGGTTATCGTTGCCTCTTTCGCTATCGCCCCTTTCTCTCAACAAGCTACAACAACACACCCGTGCGAAATCGACGTCGAAGGAACCGCGTCAATTGACGTCGCCCAATGGATTGGAACAGGGGCCGACGGTAAAATGCCGGTCATAAGTTCGAAGACCCATGTTGCTGCTATCACGGGTCTAATATACGGTCCGTCCATCTCAGCAGCAGGCCCGACGGGGTTCCAATGCGCGTCTGGGAATTGCACGTTCGACGCAATCGCAGAAATAACACATTCCTCGGTTGGCATATGTAGCAGATGTGACAAGTTGGTCGTCCGCAATGAGACGAGTGAAAACCGCACAACGTTCTCCATCGATAGGACGGACGAGAATACGAAATCTCCGAGGCCGAACATAACCTGGCCCATGAGCGAAGGTTCAGACGTATTTGTCATGGATTCAAATCAGCCGCCTGACTCGAAGGAATCGGAGCGTGATTTCGAGACATCGTTCCTCTCGCTGAAGATAGTGGAATGCACTGAGGGAATGTCTTCCTACGAAAAGGGGTCCCGAAACTGCGGCCAAAGTCCAGGGCTCACTTCAAACCAAGATGGCCAGGGTTTTGAGATTATAGGAGCCAAATGTCGACTCTATCCATGCTTTCGCAATTACCATGGGAGCATTCTTAACGGGAGATTGCACAAGCAAGAAATCTCCTCAGTAAGATGAATATCTCAGGTGTCCAATTACAAGGCGCAGGAGCATCCAACATCACAATTTATCAACACATTGTCGAGCCGTGCATTGTCAATGGCAGTAGGTACGATGCCACCAACATCAGCGTCGCAAATATGGACAATGACTGGGTTGTCCTGAACAAGACGGATGGTCCAGTCAAGATACCCCGCGGCTGCTTGAGAGCGATGCATTTCAAGGCGTTCTCAAGCATGTCCCGCGGTCTCAGCTCAACGCTTCACGGCACATGCTTCCTAAAAGAGGTTACTCGCCTTAAAGATGATCAGCCCGGTGGAGGAGGATATGATATCAACTGTGGAAAGAAATGGTTCTTGGGTCCGTTGTTCAGCCAAGGCAATCTGACATACGAGTCTATTTTAGATGAGTACAGCGGAATGGCCCAAGGCATCACCAGTCATTTAAGAGCCACTACTCTCGACCCTGAAGGTGTTCATATCCCCGTTAACGGAACCGGGAAAAGGACAACAATCTGCATCCGGGCGGAATGGTCGTGGTTAGCCTATCCGGGTATTCTTCTGATGGTGTCTGCCTGCTTGCTCTTGGTGACCTTCTTAGAGAGTTGCAGAGATAGAAGCCAGCGGCCGATATGGAAGTCGTCAATTCTTCCGCTATTGTTTTACGACGTGAACGTGAGCCATGCGGTCACGGGATCTGAGGTTGATACGCACCACCGTAGTGCAATGCCGTTACTGCAACTCGGCGACTTGAAGTTGTTGGCGAACACAACAGTAGCACGTTTTAGTGTAGGTAGAGACACACCTAGGTTTATTGTTGTGAAAGAGAAAGAGGTCGCAGAGATGGAATGAAGTTAGCAGAAGTAAACTTTAGGATAGAAGTCCCTTTGTGGAACTGACGTTAATGCCGATGACGGAGTAGTACTCTACGATCATGCATAAAAAGAAGTGACTGGCCATGTCTCGCATCTTTGGCATCATGACAAGCGTCCGTTCAAGCATGTATGGGCTTCTTCTATAGCCATAGATTTTATCAATTATTTGAAGCGCCATGCTGAGTATTTCCGCGAGGCCAATAGAGTGGTTCGGGGGTCCCTCAACACGAAGCTTAAAGTCTTGGATAGAGATCTGCTCGTAGGTTCTCAGACCCTTCACGTTAACCGCATGAAAAATGATTAGCGAAAGCAGGGCCGCGCCAAGCAAGGGTGTATTGTCGTCACACTACGACACAAAGAGCCCGATGCCTGCATTCGTAATTGTTTTGGACTCGGTTGAGGCGGTTTAGGCAGAAAAGAATTCGCCGAAGACCGCCGTGTCGCCGCCAGGGCGGCCCAACACAGCATGCCGAAAAGCAAAATCCACACATGTCCACGTCGACATGGTCGATCGTTACCCAGGTTCGTGCGTCGAGAGTTGTCAGATTGAGAGAATTATTTCTCGTATTCATAGTGACGACAAACGAACTTGAGACTTGATGTCCATCCACATGCTGACAAGATTCTGGTCGGGTGACCCTGAAAAGCAGGCGGTGAGAAGAAACAAGGAACAATGTGCCTGGCTGTCAAGTAGAGAAAAACACCGCATACTGAGAGAATGAGGGAGAGCTGAAATCAGTAAGCCGAGGCTGAAAGGTGTTGTACCGACGATGGTTGCATTGCAACAGACATACGCAAGCGACATTTGACACTCTGATACCGAGATGAGTTTGGGCTGAGGTTTGGTGAGACCAAGCGACAGAAGCCATTGCGGCCTCGCTGCGTTCCTTGCTTGAGGGAATTATGTGCCTGATGCATGTCCGGGGGGAGGGAGCCTGTGAATATGACGACAGAAGTCAAAGTCGTGCATTAACTGGCAGACTTGTTCCCCAGACTGTTCATACTTAGCAATATACCGCCATCATCATGGAGGCAGGAGGCAAATAAATGGGGCACGTGTGCGCATTTCTGCATTTCTCCGCTGTTGGTCAGCCCTTTTTCAGCCTTTTTTTCCTGGCCAGCAGCGAGGGAGCGGGCGTGCCAAGTCCTCACATCACCCCCAGAGCCGAAAGTGGTATGACGCGTCAGACGCGCTTTGCATCCCAGCCGGCAGCGGCTGTGGACAGTTGCATGGTCGTTGGTGTTGTCTAAGGTGAACAGCTGATCGTGTGAGGGATTTTCAAAGCTGGCTGGAAGGAGAGGCCTCCAGCTCCTCTGCCGCTGTCATTGTGTCGCACCATGTGTTGTCACCGGGTCGTCCACAGCCAACCCACGAAAACTGTCAGTCATATTTTGGTCCATCTTTGCCTTATATGACATTTGCTTAGGCTTGCCAAGAACCATTCCACGTCGATGTGTTGTGCTTTCCCCTCGTCCCCGTGATCAACTTCATATCTATAAATCCCTCCTGTGCTCGCTCAGACTTAACATTTATTTCATTATCTTGAAGCCAACCACAAGATTCCCCTGTTAAGTTCCTGTTCTCTTTCCCATAGAGCCCATAACTAGTCTTGGTGTCCTCCTTCCCCGCAGATTCATCAATCTTGTATTATCACACTCTCGCGCACGTGAACCCCTAAAGCCCACCACAAAGTCGGCTTCCTGCGCGCCCTTACACAATGACGGTCCGAACAGCAACCCAGGCCGACCTTGCGACAATTCAAGGCATCATAACAAAGGCCTTGCCGGTAGATTATCAATGGAAGTACTGCTTCCCCGCCCGCTCCTCGGTCAAGCACGATTCTGGCATGTACGTCCAGCGCGCCCTGGAGCAGACTCTGGCGCCTGGTAACACCGACTGGCTTGTCTGCGTGACGGAAGACCCTAGCAGTCGCAAGCCCATAGGTGTTGCCGTCTGGAGTTGGACGGATGCCAGAATACAAGAGCGCGTTGATGATAATGCTGCCTCCCAAGGATTGACAGGTAGGCGCGTCCATAACGTCCCAAGTCATCGCCCGGTTGGATGCCTTCACTTCCAGAGCCTTTCCAGGAAGTGTTGCCGTCGTGGATAGAGACTTGGTTTGAGAAAAACGCTGCGCTAATTAATGCTTTTCTCAATAGTGGCGGGGGAGGCCCTCGGGGGAGCTGGAGGTATTTCTGCAGCCGGAGGGGCGACTAAGACCAACACCGGTAACGCGGAGAATCAACGTATTGCTGCGCTTAGCAACGCCGTCGCCGCCTGCCGAGAGCGTCAGCTCACCCGCTTCGGCGAGCAGCTGCACCTCCATGTCGTTGCTATTCACCCGGAGTACCAACGCCTGGGCTATGCGAAGCTTCTCTGCCAGCATGGCATGCACTTGGCCAAGGAAAAGGGATTGGCTGTATCGGCGGTGACAAGCTCGTCGGGCTACATTTTCTTCTCTGGTCTGGGCTTCGCCGACTGTGGTCACGTCGTTGTGCAGGTTCCCGGCGAGCAGGAGGAGATTGGTCTCAAGGCTATGGTTCTTGCTGCGCCGCAGCAGGAGAAGAGAAGGGGATCTTTTCTTGATATGATGGGGTTCGGTGAACGGAGGCGTTCGAGTGACGTTAGGACACCAAAGTCCTAATTGGCCGGAGTCAGAAGAACTGTTCTTAGGTGCTTTATGTCTGTCGAATCGAAACTTTTATAAAAGTATTGGTCCTGTGATTCTTTGTTGGGTCTATCAAGCCTCATGACGTTCCAGTCGTAAGGGCCGGAATAGAGTCTTTGAGCTGGTTTCAGGGGGGCCGACGCAATGAAGACCGAGGCTATAACGTGTAAGCTTGTTATTAGTTACGAAACATCAAGGAGTTGTGGAAGCAATTATAGCATTTTGATCCGGGACGCATGTCACCTTCCAGGAAGGCTGATAGCCATTCATGAAGCACTACACGGTGACGATAAAAATCAGCAATCAGGTCTCAGGGCCAGCATGATGCGTCACATATTCTAAAGTCAGTTGAGACTGTGGTTGTCGCTGTATGCCACCTACCTAGGCGACGGGCGTGTTACAGCAATAATATATTCCGTTCTGCCATTCTCATATTAGCCGCGCGTAGCGGTTGAGAGGCCTATGAGCTGAATGGGGACAAGCATGCCTGGATTCGGAGCATGTCAACCGGCTCTCCACTTTGTCTGACACTGCCGCATGCGGTAACTTTGTGGTACACGGGCTCGCCATTCATGCTTAAAAGACTTTCTCATGAGACAAGCGTGGGATTGCTAGACTTTGAAAGTGGTCCGTGAGGACGAATGAGCAAGTTTGGATGAAAGAGGTGTTCTCATAAATGTGAAACTACAGCTGATAAGAATAGAAGAGCTAGTAAAGCAACACGATCATATCGCATGGAATATTGCAAATTAGAAGCCGAGAGTCTGACCTGCCTCCGAGGTGACAGCGGCCTTGACGTTGCCAGATCCCAGAAGCGAGTACGAGTAAGGGAAGCTGCTGGCGGTAAGCGTGCCGACAGGCGCCGTGTTTGCGCTTTCGCCAGTGAGGGTCACATCGATGGCGACCACATAGCTGCATCGCCGATTGTTAGTCACGCGATCGAGATTTCGATGCAAACAGATGAAATAGCACGGTAAATATGTCGGGAAAGTGACAACGTACCCAACCTCCTTGCTGGACTCCGAAAAAATGGCCTTCTTGCCAACGTTCTCGAAAAGAGAGCTCTGAATGAGGGCCTGAGCACCCATGCGGGAGTTGAGACCTAATCCTGATTAGCAAAGCTCTTTCCTCCGAGCTTGTCCGGGATCGCCATGCATAGGCCGTGCAGTTGACCGGTTTGCCCTATCATGAAGGGATCAGGACTCACCAGTATCCATGTCATTGTAGTATTGGTTGTAGACATGGGCAGTTCCAAAGCGCAAGAGAGGTCCACGGCTGCGGACGTTATACCAGTGGTTGTTCGCGTACGTTACGTGCAGAGTTCCAGTGTCCTCAGCGGCGTTGTTGTCAGAGTGACCAACAAGAGAGCCCTTGGAGTGGTCGTGGAAATAGGTATGCGAGATCGTGACCCAGTCAGCAGCGTGGGAAAGATCAGTGAGGCCATCGTAGAAATCCTTGTCCACGTCTCCTCGGGA